ACAAGGGGAACAATAACACCAGAGGAAATTTTAGCTTTTGATTCCTATAGCTAACAGTAAACTATACAGACTAACAGTCAGCCGTGGGCAAACTACGGCCCGTGGGCCGGATCCGGCCCGTTTGAAATGAATAAAACTATTGAAAAAAAAGACCGTACCCTTTTATGTAATGATGTTTATTTATTTATTTATTTATTTATTTTTTATGATGTTTACTTTGAATTTATATTAGTTCACACAAACACTCCATCCATGCTTTTGTTCCGGCCCTCCGGTCCAGTTTCAGAACCCATTGTGGCCCTCGAGTCAAAAAGTTTGCCCACCCCTGGACTAACTCCTAGCCAGGTGTCAGAGGAAGGTCTAATTCTTGCAGTACTTATTCCTAAATCCTGCTCACAGTGCTAATTGTGAGAGCATGTTCCTCTTTGAGCCCTGCTCTCTAGACTAACTGTTGGGAACTCAGTTCCTTTATTCTACTCTACTCCTCCACTGTTGGGTCAAGCCCCTCTGCCAGGGACTGGACCTTCACGGATGTTGGGTAGCAGATGGAGAAGCCATAATAACTGTGGATGTATATGGTGTCCCAAAATTCACGCAAGATTTGAATTTTGCGTGAGCATTAACAACAACAAAAATATATAAAAGCCTAATTTTACTTGGTTTATTGAAGCAGATTCTAATATCTGTTGCCCTTTGATTTAAATCCTTTCAATTGATAAGCATTACCAAGTACCAATTATGGCCCAGAAGCAGGGACAATGAAGACCAAATGAAGACCACGGCTTTGTGTATGTGCCAGCAAAGCCGTGGAGGCCATTTACCCGATGTGCTATTCCATACATAACCCTATACTGTATACTTTATGAATCAATAAAAAATTTACAATTTTTAATTATAAACCTGTGTTTTCTATCAAAATTACTTCTTGTGTGAATTTTGGGACACCCTATATAAGAGACTCTTTATTGTAGAAGCTAGTGGCCATGTAGCCACTGCTAACAAGGAGCCATTAGACAAAGTAGTTCTCCAAAATAGAGTCCTATACAATAGGTAGCTGCACACCAGCTAGTTAACAAATCATCTTCCCCACAAAGCAGCAGCAGCCTCTGTACCTAGAGCTATTTGAGCAACCGTGTGCTGCCTCTAGACCAGTTGGCAGCCGCTGCCACGGCCTCACACAGCAGCAGCACCTGAGCTCTCTAACCTCAGTAGCCTCTCCAGCCTCTCTCTAGCACACCAGCTGGTCAGTCACATGTGTTATACTATTTAGACAAAAGAGGCTTCTTTCCAAGTAGTGACCTCACTAATTTGGGTTATAGAAGGGCACACTATACTGAGATTGCTATAACCTTGCTTCTGTATATAGTCCTTGGACACCCAGGCCCTGGCCATCTGGCGTACTCCGGCACGGTTGCCAAACCAGGTAAACTTAAAACGTCACACTGACTAAAGGCTTATTTACTTCAGTTCCTTTTACCAGTACATCCGACTTTCAACAAAAAACTACAAGGCATACTAAGAGACAAAACGTACACTGTGAAGGGACAGTTCTGTGTCCAGAACTGATACTGGACACACCAGGTCCGAGGCTGCCTGTCACTACTTGAACCAAATTAAGAAGAGACAGGTTGGATCATATATGAGCGTTTATTCCAATAACACTGGCAGTATGGGGAGGGCAGTCGGGCACCCTGGAAATTCTGCTCTCATCCCCCTGGCTTGCTGACTGATTATATACAGGTAAAGGAGAAGATAACTACGTGCAGCTGCGAGTATAAGAGGGCAAGGAGGGGGGTAGGGTCTGCAGTCCGGCCTTCAGGAGCTCAAAGTCTGATAACAAGTTGGCTAATCTTCTATGATGTTACAAACAGCTCAGCCCGTTCCTGGAACCAGAGAATGGTCAGCATTCCCGGGGCAAATTCCCAGAGGGGGTCAGGGTCTGGGCACAGCCACCAAATTAAAGCAAGTCCTGTCCTTGGTCTGTTCTCAAAATGTATTTCTTTTCTGAGTAATGGACCCATAGAGGCATCTTATCTTTTTATAGCCTTGTTTCATCCTCCAGTTTCCCAGGGTCTGTAAGAAAACTCTTATCTATAGTTAGTAAGATGAATAACTATTAAACAACTGGCTCTATTCTTCCCCCCGCCCCCAATCAATGATGAGAGAGAATCATTGATCAGCTGCCTCCTGCAAGTCCCACACTGGGGATTGAACCCACAACCCAGGCGTATGCCCTGACTGGGAATCTAACCATGACCTTCCAGTTCATAGAGAGACGCTCAACCACTGAGCCATGCTGGCCAGGCAGTGGCTCTATTCTTATTACATGCCCTTCCTTTTATATGCCCTGCCCCCTATCAAAACCAGATTCAGATATGGCAGAGATATTGGAATTATCAGACCAGGAATTTAAAACTATTAATATGTTAATGGGTTTAATGAAGAAAGTGGACAACATTTAAGAACAGGTGGATAGTATAAGCAGAAAGATAGAAACTAAGAACCAAAAGGAAATACTAGAAATAAATAATACTGTAACAAAAATGAAGAGTGTCTTTGACAGGCTGATCAATAGATGAGCATGGCTGGGGAATCGATAAACCTGAATAAATGTCAATAAACATTTCCAAAATGTTTAGAAAATGCAAAGAAATGTAAAGAAAAAGACAAAACAATATCTAAGCAATGTGGGACAATTACAAAATGCACATGAGAATACCAGAAGAAGAAAGGAACAGAATATTTGAAGCAATAATAATCAAGAATTTCCCAAAATTAATGATAGACACCAAACACAGATGGAGGAAGCTCAGAAAATACCAAGCAGGATAAAAATAAAAAATCTACACCTAGGCATATCATATGAAAATAAAACACCAAATGAAAACCTTGAAGCCTGGGGGTAGAAGAGGGGACACCTCACCTACAGAGGAGGAAGGGTAAGAATTACAACAAACTTCTCTCCAGAAAGCATGGCAAGTACGAAGAGAGTGGAATGAAATGCTTAGCATATTGAAGGGAAAAAAGCCCACCAGCCTAGACTTCTGTATCCAGCAAAATTATATTTTAAAAGTGGAGAAATAAAGACTTTCTCAGGCAAACAAAAATTTTGTCACCAGGAGACTTGATTTGCAAGATGTGTTAAAAGAAAATTTCTCAGCAAGGACAATGATATAGGTCAGAAACTCAGATCTATGTAGAGGAAGAACTTTACAGAAAGAATAAAGATTAAAAAGGAGATTATTAGAATTTTACACATATCCAATTTGGGTAATTTGGGGACCTCCAACTAAATGTCCCACGGACAGTCGAATATGTGAATCACCTCAGACCTTGGGACTGGAGGGATATGGAAGCCATTCCTCTAGGGCAGTGGTTCTCAACCTTGGCTGCATATTAGCATCACCTGGGAATCTTTTTAAAATCCTGATTTCTGGGCCTCATCCTCCGGAAATTCTGTTTCTTTGTTATGGGTTGGGGCCACAACATTAGTAACAAATAGAATTTCCGAAGGATGAGGCCCAGAAATCAGTATTTTAAAGATTCCTAGGTGATTCTAATGCGCCGCCAAGGTTGAGAAC